GAACACTTCTAAGAAGGTGACGTATCTATGTCGTGTCCGTGTCGGACACCCTCGACGCGTGTCCGACACTCTTCAAAACGTGTCCAATTGTTTAATTTTTTTTAAAGACCGGACACTCTTTGGACACGTGGAGGACACACGTGTCTATTGCTTAAACACACGTGTCTATCAATTAGATACATGTGAAACTAATTATAAGTTTGAATAAAACAATTTAAGATACAATAATAAAACAAAAATCTTATAAATTTATAGGAATTAGTGTCATATTGTATTTTTTTATTATCTTTGAATAACATATTCATATATATAACATATAATAAATATATAAAATTATAAATTTCATGTGGACGTGTAGTGTCATGCATTTTTTAAATATTGGCATGCCGGTGTGTCTGTGTCATATCCATGTCGTGCCTTGTGTCTGTGTCCATGCTTCTTAGCTCTCATGTGATGAATGTTTGACAAACAAGGCACGATCAACTTGACGTTGACAATACCCAAACCTGAGCATATCTTTGGTAAATCTCTCAAACCAGGCTCTCAGTGATTGTTTCAAACCATACAAAGGTCTCTTGTTAATTAAATCTATAGGTATGAGTATTTCACAGTGAACACCCACTTACATCTAACTGGCTTCTTTCCATCAGGTAATTCAACCAACTCCCAAGTATTATTTTTCCTTAGGGCATTCATTTCTTTACACATCACATTTTTCCATTTGGGATCAGTGAATGTTTCCTAAGCATTCTATGGAACAGACACAGAAGACAGCTTGGATGCAAAAGCACAATAAGATGGTGAAATTGATGTAAGGAAACAAAATTAGAGATAGAGCATTGAGTACTTGACCTCACACCCTTATGAAGAGCAATAGGAACATGAAGATTAGATTCAACACGAGGAATAAGTGCATGATTAGAGGATTCAAAATTAGGTGCAAAAAAATGATTACCTGAGTCATAGGAATCAGATTGGCAAGGCAGAATAAGAGGGATAATCTCATCCTTCTGTTGTTTGGAATATACTTTCAACTCTCTAGAAGGCGTATCATGGTCATGCACAGGTTCCTTCTCCATTGAAACCTCTTGCTCAGGCTTCTCAAAACTTGGATCCAATGATGGACTCAATGACACAACAGGGAGCCCAGGTGGGGATGGAGCTTCACTCAACTGCTTCCCTTGAAGCTAAGTCTCAAGTGGGTAATATGACTAAGTCTAAAAAATGGTCACATCCATGTAGACAAACCGTCTACCTGAAAGAAGGAAGATGATAACACTTGTAAACTTTTTGAGTGGTAATGCATTTAGTAGTTCGAGGATCAAGTTTATCCCGGAGACGCAATAGAACATGGACATAGAACACATAACCAAAGACATAAGGAGTAACTACAAACTGATCGGAGAAAGACGAGACAAATGAGGACAAAAACTCAATGGGTGATTGGAAACCTAGGACGAGAGAAGGGATCCTGTTAATAAAATAAGCAACAGAGAGGACAACATAATAGACATTGGAACACTCATGGAAAAACACAAAGCCCGAGCGACATCAAGGACATGACGGTTCTTTCGTTTAGCAACACCATTTTGTTGGGGGGTGTCATTGCAAGTGGCTTGATGTATAATACCATGAACAAAGGCCCCCATTAAAGTACTCACCCTTATTATTAGATAGAATTGGGTTAGTATCATTTTGTGAAATAGTTGAAAACAAGAAAACACATCATTCTTATTCTTCATCGAATAGACCTAGGTAGCACCAGAAAAGTCATCAATGAAAGTGACAAACCATTTAAAACCAGACAAATTAACAACTCGACTTGGACCCCAAACATCATTATGAATAATAGTAAAAGGGCAATTGCTTCTATTGTTGCTGATAGGAAAAAACACGCAATGATGTTTGGCAAGTTCACAAGGTTCACAATAAAATTTAGAACTATCCAACAGAGAAAACAAAGCTGGAAAAAGTTTCTTCAACAAATTAAAAGAAGGATCTCCTAATCTAAGGTGTATAAGCCACAACTGCTCCTCTGAAGAAGCACAAGTCACGGATTGATGATCCTGCCGAACTTGACCATCAATAGTCCCTTGAGAGTCTAGAAAGTAAAGACTCCCCTCTTCTTACCACTGTTCGTCTTCCTCATAAGTAAATCTTGAAAAACACGATGAGAGGGAAAAAAGGTCACACAACAATTTTGTTTAGTAAGGCCTATTTCGGGAAGCTGGCTTTTTAGCTGAAAAGCCAAAAAGCCACTATAAAAAAGGCGACTCTTCTCTCTACATTTTTGCACATCTTTTTGCAAAAAGTCAAAAAACTACTAAAAAAATCCAATTTTCAAAACAACCCTAAGACTACTAACTAAACAAAGGCTAGTAGACAAATTAGGAACATGCAACACAAAAAACTGAGGCATAAATGGAGTAACATGGATGGAACCTTTGTTAGACACTGAGGAATGAGAACAATTAGCTATGTTAACTTCTTGTCCTGAACAAAGAATATATGAGTAGAACAAATTGGACAAACTAGTCATATGATTAGAAGTCTCAGAATCAATAATCCATGGGAAAGATGATGACTAACAAGAAGCACTTAAAGCCATGGAAGTATTACCTGACTAGGCAAAAGCAAAAGATAAAGAAAAGGTACCCATTTTTGACATAAAATGGCGGAAGGTCTCCACTTCCGCCTTGGTTAGAACGATAGACTTAAAGGAGTCATTAGCAGTAGGGACCGATGGGACTGACTTAGCAGTTGTAGACGGATGAGTAGTAGTATGATGTGCACGAGAACTACCTCTACCACTAGTGTGACGACCTCTACCCCCTAAAGGAGAACGACCTTGAAGTTTCCAACAATGCTCCTTATCATGCTGTGGGCGGTTTAAAAAATCACAATAAAGCTTATCCTTGTCCTTGAAAGAATCACCATATCGACTCTTTTAGGTTTCTTACCACCCAGCCAGGAGTCTTGCTAAATAGTAGAAAAATGAGCTGAACTCTCCTGGAGTTGTGGGTGTAGCATGACCTCACGTCTGCTCTCCTTGCTTTGAACATAAGAGAAAGCCTCCTGAAGAGATGGAATCAGCTCTCTACCTAAGATTTGGATCCAGACTTGATCATACTAAGGATTTTTCTTTCCATTTTTTTCTTTTTTTCTTTTTCTTTTTGGGTGAATATCATACTAAGGATTCAACCCTTCAAGAAATTCAATGATCCGATCTTGTTCAATCAATTTTTCAATTTCAAAGTATCTGTTATACTATCCATCTCAAGAGTCTAATAATGATCCAACTCCTTCCAGAAAGCATGAAGGGTGTGGAAAAAGGTGACAACAGTAGAATCCCGCTGCTTGGTATTGTGAATTCGACACTTCAACTCGTATACTTGTGCCAAATTTCCCTAATTGATGTAAGTTTGTGCAGCCGCATCCCAAATCTCCTTTGCCGTGTCCATGAACAAACAAATTACAACTGATTTCAGGCTACATAGAGTTGAGAAGCCAAGATATAACCGTGGAATTCTTAGTATCCCATTGATCTTAAAGGGGATCATTAGTGTTTGGTTGTACAACTTTGCCAGTCACATACCCCATTTTCCCCCTACTTTTGATAAATAACTTTTCTGATTGAGACCAAGACAAATAGTTACAGCCATTAAGCCTCAAAGTGGTAATCTATAAGGTGGGATTATTTGGGACAGTTTGGCGAGCAACAGTGACTGGTGGTTGAGACATCACACTTCCTTCTGACACGATTAGGTAGTAGTTTGGCAAATATCACGTAACAAGAAGGTTGTAGAGACAAAAAACAGCCAGAAAACCCAGGGGTGAGTGGCAACCTGGTAAGGGCTTGGGGTTTAAGCCCCTAGGTCCTGGGTTCAACTCCCCTCTGGGCCAATCTCCTGGGCGTAGCACAGTTGGTTAGGAGGTTGACCTCAAGGATGTCATATCAGCTGCTTGGTGTGGGTTTAATTCTCCCCCGCTGTGCGAGTCCTGACTTAAGCGGAGCTTGCCTTGGGAGGTCGGGACAAGCTTCCAGGTTATAGTCTCTTACTCGGAACGAACAACAGGATACCCTGGTGATCTCCTCAAGGGGCGCTGCCTTGGACCTGCGGGAGAGTGGGAGGATTTTCCTGTAACAAAAAAAAAAAAAAAAGCCAGAAAAAAAAACCAAAACAGTGCTCTGTGAATACTCGGAGACAACAAAATAGGCCACCGGAAAGCACAAAACACCCTCAAACCACCAAAAAAGAGTTCACCACTGCTCAAGACCCATGGATGCAGAGTCTATAGTGTTAGTCGGCCTCCTAGCGATTGAGAGAAAAAGACCGATGCACTAAAATACCTTTGGTAGCTGAAACTGGAAAGTAGCCCTTATTTTCCAAAAAATACGAAAAAAATGGAAAATCCTAGCAAGGCCTCTTCAATGGGAAAAAAAAAAAACAATATATATAGGGTGAAAGAACTATCCTAGTCGACCATGGAGAGGAATTTTTAAAATTTATTTTCACTGAGCAATATTCTTAGCAGCAGGGAGGGGAAGCCTTGCATCTAGGAAATAACCTACTAAACAATTTCTCCACTCATGAATACCAGATTGTTCAATCTCTCCAAAGGCAAAGTAACCATGACTTTATTCTCTGAGAAACTAGGAGGATGATACTCCAAATTCATCATTTTGTTATTAAGAGCAATACCAACGTGAACTTCCTTCCATGAATGACAAGTCTTCCAAGATTAAAAATAGAAACAAGCTCTAGAGTTATATGTCAAATAGAAAGTTCAAAAGTGTATTGAGTTGTGTGTTACTCCGATGTTAAGTTGGATGTTGACATTCTGGAAGTCATTCTTTGTTGTGCCTGGTTGCAGAAATATTATGACATCCAGTTCTTTTTCCATTTGTTGCTTGATTTTTTTTTCTTTTCTTCTAGGTTATTCTGTGTTTTGAATCCTTGTTCCTCCTAAATTTATTTACTATTTTCTATTGGAAATAGATGGAAACGATTCCAATTGATGAGATCAAGAAAGAGTTGAGGTCTGCTGAGTTGTCAGATGAGGCTATTGAGGAGCTGCTGCAAGTACTCTCTATCAAGTCTTTAACAAAGTTGGAAGGTTGGTTGTTGCAACTTTGACTGAGATGTGACCTACACTTTTTGTGATCTTGTCAGTTGAGTCTTACCTTGTTAAACTTAAATCCATTCTTTCCTTGACATGTAAATGATATTATGCTCGTCTAAAAATGCCTTTGGGTTCTGTCTTCTGCCTTACATGTATTGTTTAACCATATCTATCCTTATATTTTGTACATCGTTTAGGTCCTTCAAGCCTTGCACTTGTAGAGGCAAACTATTCTTGCAGAGGGAGAGAGCATTGTTTATTAAGATATAAATATGGTACTCTCCCGGATGCAGGACGATTAGGGAAAGTGCTGTAGGGACTTTAAAGCTGAAAATTAATAAGAATTTTGGATTTCAATTAATGAATGGAATGAACTAGGTTTAGGATTAATAAACATGGTGAGAGAGATCAGGAGAAGGGCTGTTTAGGAACTGTGAACAGTAGCTCGTGAACAATAAACTGAAACAGAAAAGAAGAAAGAAGAAAATAGTTGTATGAAGCATTCCTAGAATCCGTTAGGCATGAAACTTAGGGTTAGGGTTGCATCATACAAACCCAAAGAGGTTTCAAAATTCTGAAAATTCTATAAAATATAAACTTTATTAAAATATAAGCATGACTTTATATAGAACTAGGATTCTTCCTAAACCAACTAGAATCAAAAAAGGAAGCTTAATTACTTTGACTTTCAAATCAATTTAAGATCAAATAAGAAACATAAATAAAAACCAATTAAATAGCTTGACCCATAAAACGATCCATGGGCGATCCTTACCGCTTGTCGGCAAATATGAAAATTACCAAAATACCACTGACCTGAAAATCCTAGAAAACATAAAAATAATTATAAAATAAGACTATAATAATACTAGAAATATAATTATATAAGATTCCTATTTGTTTTTCTTTGAAATCATATCAATGTTCAAATATCATCACAGCCACAAGCTAGTAAAAGTTATTTGCATGATAAAGAAGTTTTGGTGAGAGGAATTTTTGTTACTTGTGGAATCTCTTCTGCAAAAGTTGGTTGATTGAAGAACTTGAGAATTGTTGAGATGACAAATGAAGGCAGTTGAGGTGATTTAATCATATATAATAGTGTCAATATCACTGTCACTATGAGCTAGCATGTGGCATGTTTCCAATACTTCGCTTTGGAAAGATAAAGGATGAAAATTCCTGGGCTGATTCACCTTAATGAATTTGCTTAGAGTTATTGCCAATTAGATTAATTAGCTAAATACAATCTCAAGCAATAAAGTAAATCAATCTCTCTTTATGTCTCTGTCTCACACACACACAAAAAAAAAGGTTTGTGATTAACATGGAAAGCCCTACTGGGAAAAATCAGAGGACCTAATCCAACAAACCAACCAATTTAATATAAAGAATAAAATACAAGTTGCAACTTACAACCCAACCCAACCCAAACCAAACCAAACCAAACCAAACCAAATCCACAATGTCAAGTCCATGAAATTTTGGTTGTGCTCCCTATAGCGATTGAATCCATGATCTTTGTCTTCAATTGATGGTTGAGTGTTGAATCTATGATACTTCTAGAATCCACCACGAATTGAACACGATCCACCAAACCACCTTTGGAATTCACTAATGCTGTGTTTGGTTGGATGATTTGAGGAGAGATTTGGAAAGGGAAAGGGAAAGGGAAAAGATACGTGAAATTATGTGAAATTTAGGCATATTTTATTCTCATTTCACCTACCTTTTTCATTTTTCTTTCCAAATCCCTTCTTAAATCCCCCAACCAAACACAGCATAAGGCAACCACCACCGTCGGAATTCAATAAGGCAATCACCAATGTGTGAGCAATGATGTATAAAAGCTCAAATATCGAATATATTCGAAGCATGTTTTGGTCTTCACCCAAGGCCCCTATTTATAGTTGAGGTGTCCTAGAATGACTTAAAGACTTCTTTAGCTCGTCCCCATGTGTTAAACTAACTTAAATCTTGTAAAATCGACACCTTGCGCTTGAGCCCGCACAACCCTCTCAAGCTCCCAAAAAAATTGTGCATTTTGGAGTAACCATGCCTAAGTTCACTTCTCAAATTCCAATATGTTCGATTCTTTTTACGGTGAAAGATATATGTTAATTCTTCCTCACTTTGTTTTACACGTGACCCCATGCCAAGCTAGCTGTCACGTGTTCCCAATTTTATCATGTAATGTAGCACAAAATCATCCATGCATATCTTTGAGGCAAGTCTTGAGAAATCAACAACTTACTTTTGGGCTAAGTAGCACTGTTGACTGCAATGGAGGTTTTGCGGATGATAGCCTGGGCAGATGCATCAAGGCCTACATGATCTTCTCCATTGAAACTGATTGATGTAAGATGAAGTATGATGAACCAAGTTTCGTAGAGAGGGGGGAGGGGGTATTAAAGAGGGAAGAGTGGTTGAAGCATCAAAGCCTTTCATGGCATTAGTGGCTTCCATTTCATAATTTAAGCATTAAGATATCATTTACATAACAATTGCATTCTAAAGAATGCAAAATAATTATAGAACATTGAAATACACATGCTGGATTCATTTGATAAATGTTTCAAAATAAAGTTAGGGTGCACAAATTGCATTTTGATAAATGTAGAATATTGATACTAAAAAGAGCTTCATCACATAGATAGTGTTTGGAGAGTTGAAGAAGTGTCACCAAAGTGTCCAAAAATGTCTGTAAAGTGTCTAATATTATGAATTTAATTTTTTAATTAAGACACGTTAAAGAAGTGTCAAGACACTTATTAGAGTGTTGGCAAAGTGTTGTGTCCAATACCGGTGTCCAACATGACATGTGAAGTGTTCAGGCTTCTTAGCTTGTGGGCCTCATGACCTAGAACCGATTTATTTTGCTGCTTCACCACCGCCTTGTAACTCCGATTTGTCTATTTGTACCTAGACTCAACTTCCTAACTAGATTCAGTTGGGACTTCTAAAAATAATTACAAATCAAATTTGCTATTACTATTCAAATATATTTTGTATAAGGGATTGCCAAATCTAGTATGGACCTCTGAAGCATGAATATGGAAATGATTCAATACAAATATGGCAATGTGAAACAATCTAAAATAATAGGATACGGGTACAACCTGGTTCTAAGAAGCACAAACACTTCTAAAAAGGTGGTGTGTCCGTGTCGGACACTTCCCGACACGTGTCCGATACTCGTCTAAATGTATCTTTTTTTTATTTTTTATTTTTATATATATAAAAAATTTAGACTTGGAGGACACACGTGTCTATTGATTAGACACACAAAACTAATTATAAGTTTGAACAAAATAACTTAGAATACGATGATAAGATAAAAACAGTGTCAATTTATAGAAATTAGTGTTATATTATATTTATTTATTGTCTTGGGATAATAAATTCATATATATGACATGTAATAAATATACAAAATTATATATTCTGGACGGGTGATGCTATGGTACATTTAGGTGTACCATATATTTAGTTATGAACTTATATGATTTTATATCATAACCTATACCATATTAGTCATAACTATCACCATATTAACTCATAACTTAGTTATATTCAATTATTTACTTATACCATATTACTTCATAACCAGGTCATTAAAAGTAACCTGCTAAACAGGTCACTTTTTATAGTTATGAACTAAAATCATATTTCTTCATAACTATAATCAAATTGATCAGAACTTAGTTATAACCACATCTCAGAACCAACACCATTTTGTTCATAACTAATATCACATATTTCATAACCACTAATCACATATCTTATAATTAACACCTTTTTGCTCATAACCACATCACTTTGATCATAACCAACATCACATATCTCATAACCACTAACACATATAGCATAACCAAACACCCTTTGACACCACTTTACTCATAACCATTACCCACATATCTCATAACCACTAACACATATAGCATAACCAAACACCCTTTGACTTATAACTATACCACTCTGCTCATAACCAAAATCACATATCTCGTAATCACTAATCATATATCTCATTACCTTTACCCACT